AAATAATAATAGATTACACTAAAACAATTTATTTGCACTTTAAAAAATTTGTTGCATTACATTTCTTCAATTCTTTCTTCCTTTATTTCAATTTGCATATGATCTACAATACTTTCAATATTTTTCTTTTCCAATTTCTTTCTGTTTCCTTTAAATTTGCCTGAACTGGTAGTGGGTTGAGAATCTGTATTGCCAATAGGTCTGAATAATTCTGTCAGCATTTGCTGTTTAGCTTGTCTTCTAATGTCTTTCAAGTGTTCAACATAAGGAAGAGTTGCAATTTCAACAGCTTTCTTGAATTTTATGCTTCTATCTAAAATAGGATCCTGTTCAAGAAGTTCATTGCATACACTATCAAGTGTTCTTAATAGCGATGAAAGTTTAGCAGAAGTGAAAGTCTTTAGTTTAGGTAGCTCATATTCATCCTCAACATTGTAATCATTATCATCGTCGTCGTCGTCACTGTTTTCCTCACTACTACCATTTCCATTTTCAAAGTGTAGCTGATATAATTCTTCATTTGTTGGTTCTTGTGTCATTTCATTAATAATGTCTTCAATATCTTCTTCTCTAATATCAAATCCTTCTCCATTTTCCCTAGCAAAACGTAAAATATCTTTTAAAACTACATCAATCTTATTGAATTCTTCAAAATTTGTCACGCATTCTTCCCACATAGTTTTCCAACAATTGCTTATTGTGGTTTGTGAAACTTCATCCCAAGATGTATGTATAAAATCTATAATATTATAAATATTCAATTTTTCCCAAAAATCAGTCATTGTAAATGATTCATTAGTTGTCAGTGCTTTAGTTGCTGCTCTATAAACATTTCTCACATAGTAACTTTTAAACATTTTAATTATACCCTGATCTAGTGGCTGGATTAAAGAAGTATTACTATGTGGTATAAATAAAACTTCAATATTAGGATGAGCGTGTTCAATATCATCACTACAATGTACTTGAGCATTATCTAGTATCAAAATAACTTTAAAAGGCAAGTTCTTTGACTGGAGATACTTCTCAACCTCTGGAATGAAGCAATTATTGAACCAATCCCAAAAGATCTGTCTAGACATCCATGCATACTTATTAGCACGCCAATAAACTGGCATCTGATTCTTATTTTTTCCTCGTAGGCCCTTAGGGTTTTCGTCGTGATGTACCATTAGAGGTTTGCATTTGAAATCTCCCGTAGCATTAGTAGCCAACAATAATGTTGCACGTTCCTTAACGGTTTTAATGCCGAATCTGTTTTCGTTAATGTACGTTCCAACCCCCGTCCATTTATAAAATAAACGTGTTTCGCTAGCATTAAATATTTGTTCATTTTTATAACCTTTTTCTTCGATTAAGTTTAAAAATAATGAAATAAAAGCATCGGCAGCTTCCTTATCGGTCAAATCACCTTTTCCGTTAAACTTTATATCACGCAAGCCGTAACGAGTTTTGAACCTTTCGAGCCACCCTTTACTAGCGGTGAAAGGTTTAGGGTTTTGCACGTCTTTCGTGGCGTGTTCATAAATTCGAAGTGCTTGCTGTCTCACAGTCATATCGTCCATGACAATTTTCCTCTCGTTCATCATCTCTTCAATCCATACATTTAATCTCTTTTCCATCATTTCGTAATGAATATCACGTACCACAGACGTAACTTCGGCACTTCGAGGAGCAGATTCCTTAACAGACTTACGTATTTCCGCTTCTTTCTTCTTGATCGAACGCACGGTCGATTCGTTCATGCCGAATTCACGTGCAACGGCGCTTGCCGATATACCGCTCTGTAATCTGTCGAGTAGTTTAATTTTCTCGGTAAGCTTTAAAACTATTCTCCTTCGCTTAGGAACACTAGAAGATTCACTCTCTCTGCGCCTAGAAGTCATGACGATATCGACAAAGGTAACAGACACTCGCGATAAAACAGCGTTGGAGTGCAAGGTCAAACGCCGACCACTAACAACCAGCTTCACGGAGACAAAGACAAAGCTCGGTTCTGCGCATCTCCCTCAACGGTCGCGCGAATCGGTTTAATTTCTTCCTTACTTAACGTGTTTTGTAATATAAATATGTTTTTTTATGTTCAAATTTAATTTTTTTTGTAAGGATGATCGATCTGTGTTATTACCATCGCGTTCTCGTTTGTTATTTTTTCAGAATTATTATATCTGACTGATCTTTGTCAAAACAATAGATCAGTCAGGTATAATTATACATAAAATTAATTTATAAAAATATTGAAATTTCGCTAATCGTTTAACGTTCACATAATTTTCACATGTTCGTTCTGTAATTGTAGCTGTTTAATACCAGATTTACTTGCTTTATTTATATATCAATTATATGAACGTTTGGTTTTATAGCATTTTCACCAGATAAATTTAAAATCATAATAAAATGAAGCACGGTAACCTCGTACTGTTAACTCGGTATATGCGAATTCGCGCATTCACGGCTGCGGACGAGACGCGATTGATTATTTTTAACCTCTTGACGTCAGCTAAAAATAGTGGAAACGCCTTCGATTTGTTGGATTGAACAGCATTAGTCCTTCCTGATAAAATGGCATCGACCCGTCGCTGAAATTCGTACGTTTGTTTAAATTCATTTAAAACTAACGCCTCGGGATGTTACGAATTAATTTTCACATTGTTTTTTATATAAAATTGATTAAGACAAAGGCGAAAATTCCTCATAAAATAATGAATAAATCCGATCCTTTGTGCCGTGTTTAGAATAAAAAGTAAAAGTATAAAGCGAATGACAAATTCTAAATTTCTTTTATGATGAAAATAAACAATGTTAAAACTATTATATTTAACTAAAATGCTATTGGAAAATATATATTTGTATTGTACGTAGGAATCTTTATTTATTTACTCTCAAGTAATCGCGAATACGGAGGGATTTGCTTATATACATAATAGATAAATTTATTATTTTATGCAGACTAATTAGTATTAAGAAATTGTGTCGACCTACATTTGTAAAGGTGCTTTCTTTTTGTTTAACGAAACAAAAAGAAAGGCGCAAGTATAGGAGTAAATACCAGACGGACCCACTCGTATAACATTCCTCCCTCCGGTAGTTAGCAAAGTGAACTCGACCTTTCTTTACAGTGTCATGCTTCGGGTCATGTTTCCGTTTCATTCTATAAGTACTATAGGTTTTACAAGCATTACATGTTTTATATATACAGTATATATGTATATAAATTTTTTTTTCCTGGACACAAAATGTTTTTCCTATAAAAAATTCATTCCTATTCGGATCTCGTTCAGTTTTCGAAATTTTTATCGCTTGTTTTGGAAAATAAAATGTAAGATTGTCGGAAATCAAGTACAAGATTGGGATTTTATTTTTAAATTGTATGTAGATGACCTTTAAAACTGTTTATAACGTTAAAGTTGGATTTTGTTTTGTGAATGTTAAATAAATACTTCTAATATTTTAGTACGAATGCATACGTTTCTTCTTAAATAACTTCTAGACCACTTATTAAATTGTCATTTTACTGCTTACTGTTTCCTAGTATTTATTTATCGACTTATCACACATTGAGACTTATTTTATCTGCTTTATTATTATACTAATTATACATTAAACTACAAATATTTTGGCCATCCTAAAATAGAAACATTAGTTTTTATTTATTAATGTACAATTATTATTGTTAAACATATGATGCACTTATTTTAATTAAAGTNCTCTTCAGCCCTATGCTCTACCTTTTGCAAAAAATGTTATTTTAGATTGCTTGCTTTTAGTTAATAGATCTTTATAAATTTCCTTATATGGTGCTAAGCACTTATGAAGAATAAAGCAAGTATGGAATAAGGGAAAAACATCTGGCAACACCAAAATCAGAAATGTTGTGATCTGGCAACACTAAAACAAGTTTCGAGAAGGACTACACGTATCGACAGAAGGTGGGAAAAGAACGTTTACATACTTAAGTACTAATAGTTCACGAAAATAATAATTTTTATGAACTATTAGTACTTAAGTATGTGAAAATTTATTACATTTCGTGTTGTACGAGGGTTTTACCCAATTCTCGAATCGTGTTAGAGTGAATCCATGTTATAGAAGTGTCGTGTTATACAGGGGTTACCTGTATATACGAGGGGGACCCAAAAAAAAACCGAACTGAGAGCGTACTGCCATTCATATACATGGTATAGAGTTTTCCTGTTACATGGGGTTAGTAGAGACCTTCACAAAACAGCTGTGCAAACAGTGTCATGTTTGAGCATAGTGTTGTGTTTCTCTTATTGTTATTTTGTTCCACCTGCGAAGTTCTGGGCATCCTTCAACATCTCAAAACAATGAAAACATTGAACAAATCTGCCAAAAAAGTGTTAAGACGTCTGCGAGAGGATGTGCGAAGGAAACATCCGGAACTTTGGCGAGCAGGTTCCTTCATCACGACAACAACCCCTCACAAACGGTCTTATGAGTGACCCACTATTTTACCTCTCAGGGATGGCCTGTCGTTCCCCACCCTCTGTATTTCATCAGACCTAGCCCCATGCTACTTTTTTCTGTTTCTAAGAATGATGAAAAATCTAAAAGGGAAGTGTTTTGATGGTGTGGAGGCAATAAAAACAGCTTCGCTAAGGGCACTGGACGATATCAAGGTTGTAAGTAATTGAGATCTTGTTAAAAAAAGTGAATAATAATAAAAATAACAGATAATATATTGGATTTAGATTAAGTAAAATATATTAAATTTGAAAGTTTTTCACACACACACATTCTGTTAATATGTGGGTGATAAAAAATGTTTCTAAAGTTTATGTTCATAATCTGTGATTAAGGATTTGACTCAGAAACTAACAAAATATTTATAATTTAAAATGAATGCCAATTGATTAATGTTGGACTCTGATTCTCGGTTGTAGATTATGAATACAGATGTTACTACAGTGATTTGAGATTTAGCTATTTTTTATTTATTTAAAATATTTTAATATACCTAAATAAAAATATCTTTTCAGGAGAATATGTAGCTCAGTTCAAATTTACTGTTTTACTGATGCCAACTGGGTCTCATAAAATTACTTCTGGACCCATTGATATGGATATGTATGAAACAGAATTTAAATTAGAAGACGAATCTTTGAAGGTGTGGATTATTTATTTATTTTTTAAAGCAATATTCTATAATATAAAATAAATTAGAAATAGTTAAATTCCTTAAATAAGTATTCTAAGAAACAAATTTTATTCTTAAAATTTGTTTACTAAAGTTATAAGTAATAATAATGAAATTTTAAAAGAAAATAGCTAAAATGAACATTTGCAATCTGAAAGGGAAAAACTTGACTCCAATTAAATATTAAACTTAAAAAGCTTAAAATTTGAATAACAGTTATTCTCTTCAAGAAATATAATTGTGATGATGAAAAAGAATTTCATTTTCTTATGAAACAAAACTAAATATTCTTCTTTACAGAGTTAATTAATTATCAAGCTCTTAGAAAAATTTTCACTTAAATTCAAAAATAATAATCCAACAAGAATACAGATTGTAAAATAAGTTATAGTGATTATTTGCTACCATCTAAATGGTTCTTTTGCTGTTCATAAAATTTAGTAAAAAGTCATTGTTAGATTTAAATTGTTTTTGCAAATGAAGACATATACTATTGTTTCATACTTAAAATGTGCTTTTCTTAATGCTTGATTTGTTGATTTAATTTCAGTGCAAAGTAGACTAATTCATATGATCAGTTAAATAAAATCAAAACTTCTGCAGCTAATATTTGGAAGAAAGAATTCTAACTTAATAAAAAGTATTGATCTCTTCTAATACTTTATATACAGTACATCTGATTTTGTATTTTTATCATACCATATAAAAGTGCAAAATGATAGATATCCTATTTATTCTTTAAGTTATTTTTAGTTCATATATAGAAAATGGCCTTCATCAGGCAAGTAAATCAAATTCAATGGAAAACAAATTTGAATTGTAAGATTCAAATTTGTTTTTCATTGAGATTTGATTTGCTTGTCCAGTGAAGGCCTTTTAATAAGTTTATTATTTGTTTATTAAATGTATAAAAAATAAAACTCAAAACAAATGAATGAACTTATTTTATGATCTTTTCTAAAATTTAAAACCAAATGTAACAAACTAAGTTAGAAAATTATTTATTTATAGCTAAAATACAAAAATTAAGATGCTGTAGTTGGATGATTTATATTGAAATATTTTTTATTTGTTTAATTTATTATAGTCTCATCATGAAAATTTTTTTTTAGATGCTATTAAATAGAGCAGTGGGACCAAAGTCAGCTAAAAAGAAAAAGAAAAAAGCAGAAAAGGCAGTGGCATCATCTGTAGAATCTGGAGACAAAATTGAAGATGAAAAACCAGATGAAAATATCAATAAAGCTGAAGATTGAATGACTATTAAATAAAAAAAAGGGTAATAAGTGTTGTAAAATAATTCTGCATGTTATATATAATATAAAGTAGTCATTTTCTGTTAATAATAAGTGAGTTATATGTAATAATTTGTTTCATTAATCATAAATTAACCAAAACATTAGATGTTTTATATGTTAAAAAAAATTTATCTAGTTTTTCATTAGATATAATTGATAGCAACCATTTTTATTTTTTTAATATTAAAGATGGACCTGTCAATATAGTAATAGCAGTGCATGATATGTTGACAGAAGCATGTTGGCATATATAATTTTATATTATATACAGGTAACCCCCATATAACACGGGAGTTATGTTCCAAAAAATTGCCATGTTATGCGAATCCGTGTTATACGAAACAAAGAACTAGTACGAAAAGGGGGTGTAGGTTCCAAAAATTAAAAAACATGCTATTATATTTTCATAATTAAGATAAATATCTTTATTAAAATTTTCTTAAGCAATGCATAGTAATATAAATTAAACAATGTTTTCTTCGTAAGCACTATTAACCGAGGGTGTTTTCTTTTTGGCAAGATATCCTTATCCTCTGAGCATTTTTCTGCATTATATTCAGATCCATGCTCTACCTTTTGCAAAAAATGTTATTTTAGATTGCTTGCTTTTAGTTAATAGATCTTTATAAATTTCCTTATATGGTGCTAAGCACTTATGAAGAATAAAGCAAGTATGGAATAAGGGAAAAACATCTGGCAACACCAAAATCAGAAATGTTGTGATCTGGCAACACTAAAACAAGTTTCGAGAAGGACTACACGTATCGACAGAAGGTGGGAAAAGAACGTTTACATACTTAAGTACTAATAGTTCACGAAAATAATAATTTTTATGAACTATTAGTACTTAAGTATGTGAAAATTTATTACATTTCGTGTTGTACGAGGGTTTTACCCAATTCTCGAATCGTGTTAGAGTGAATCCATGTTATAGAAGTGTCGTGTTATACAGGGGTTACCTGTATATACGAGGGGGACCCAAAAAAAACCGAACTGAGAGCGTACTGCCATTCATATACATGGTATAGAGTTTTCCTGTTACATGGGGTTAGTAGAGACCTTCACAAAACAGCTGTGCAAACAGTGTCATGTTTGAGCATAGTGTTGTGTTTCTCTTACTGTTATTTTGTTCCACCTGCGAAGTTCTGGGCATCCTTCAACATCTCAAAACAATGAAAACATTGAACAAATCTGCCAAAAAAGTGTTAAGACGTCTGCGAGAGGATGTGCGAAGGAAACATCCGGAACTTTGGCGAGCAGGTTCCTTCATCACGACAACAACCCCTCACAAACGGTCTTATGAGTGACCCACTATTTTACCTCTCAGGGATGGCCTGTCGTTCCCCACCCTCTGTATTTCATCAGACCTAGCCCCATGCTACTTTTTTCTGTTTCTAAGAATGATGAAAAATCTAAAAGGGAAGTGTTTTGATGGTGTGGAGGCAATAAAAACAGTTTCGCTAAGGGCACTGGACGATATCAAGGTTGAAGAGTTCCAGAGATGCTTCAAACAGTGGGGAAAAAGACTTCACAAGTGCATTGCATCTAATGGAGAGTACTTTGAAGGTGACTGAAGAAATTTTGTAAAAAATTTCTTCAGTCACCGGATTTTTTGTATAAAAGCTTTATTTTATTTTATTTTTTTTTTTTTGGTTCCCCCCACATATATTATAATATTAATGTAATATATATTATGATAGTAATAGACATAAATAATAACTAAGTAGAATTTTAAATTGAAATTTTCTTACAAAGAATTACTTAAAAGTAATTAAAATTGATATAATGTAAGAAGAAATGTTTTGAATTGAAAATTAATAGCTTTAAATTTTAACAAGCAGTAATTTGAAATGATTTCTATAATATTTCATTTTCTACATCTGAAAAATATTCTTTTAATATATTTGTGGAAGTTGATTAGAAATTGTGAACTTTTTGTTGAATAACATTGTTTTTTTAATAATAATTGGTTTTTAAGTTGCCCAAACAATTTTAATCTATGCATAAATTATTTTATTTCAGGTGAAAGGATACAAGTTGTTTACAAATGGACTAGCACAAAAGCCAAGCACTATTGCCAGGGGAAGGAGAGGCACCGATTATTGGCCAAAAAAAAAAATTACGTTCACCCGACTACTACAAGAACTCCACACACCGCTCTTGCGGAAGATATTTTTGTGTTTACTTTTGATAATAGATTATTTAAAATTTTGAAAACACAAATAACAGACAAGCAGAAAGAGAGAATCAACAAGGTTGAAAACTTCAAAATGGAAGAAGCACTGCCAAAATGTTTGTTATATTCCATTTATAAATTGGACCAAAATAATAACGACAACATAACCGCTAATCGAAGATTGTAGCAGGCTTAAAATTAACGAAAACGTCTATCAATAAGGAATATGGTTTGGTAATTTGGTTGGTGCAAACTCCTTCCGGAAAATGTTAAAGAAATAAATGCCCTTTTTTGAAAATAATTTTTCGGCTTGTATAGTTTTTATTCTGGTTTAAAAGTAATGTGCAGGAATACAACTGAAAAATTTTTAATCAAAGTTTAATAAATATTAAGATGATTTAAACTGGTGATATAAATTTTAAATGAAGTATTTATTTATTTTTTCAAATTTGAATAACTACTGTAAGATAATTCAAAAGTATAAAACATCAGAATTTATTTTTGTTTTAATTATAAAAAATTTAATGGTTGAAGTGTTTCTTTTTACATTTATTATTTAGTATTTAAAATTGTAAATTTAACAAGGTGAAAAAGAAGGCAAAAATGAAATTTCAATTAAAGATTTTATTCATGCTTTTAAAAACTGAGTTTTTTTAATATATATCTATATATACGAATGAATTTGAATTAATGAAAGACTAGTTTTAAGCATGCAGTTACTAATTTTAATAAATGGCAAAGACAAAATAACTATCATATTAGGTATTTGGAATCTTATCTACTATAGCAGGTTTATGGGAAATTAGTTTATCATGAATTGAGAGAATTCCTAGCGAGCGAATACTTTTTTCCCTCTTAAGATATTGAAGACAGTGAAAATTCTTGCTGAACAATGTTTTCTCCAGTCATCTTATTAGTGCTACTAAAAAATATGTGCAATCTAATGTTTATATTATTAAATTTGAATTTATAAAATCGTATCATTCTAAATTGTCCATTTATTAGATAATTTTTTTAAGTTTTATTGATTAATTCGTAGTCTACGAAATAGATACAGGCCGGGAAATAGGATGACAAACGAGGTGGCACAACAGTTCAATTTTCCCTATTAAGCTCGATTTTCTAGACCCATTTAAAAATTTGTCAATCTCTTCAATGTTAACTTGGTAAAACTAGTTTTATAAAGTAATAGCAATAATTTATAATTTATACATATGTTACGGGCAAAGTTCGGAATCCGGCATTCTATAGAATGCCTAGGCATTGTATATAATGCCTAAAACTAGCCGGCAATCTATGAAACGATTCATATTTTACAAATTTCCTAGGCATTCTATAGAATGCCAAATGAGAAACCGGCAAAGTATGAAATACATCTCCGTTTGGTTTCGAATATCACGTGGCAAGGCACGTGACTTTTAACACTGCGGTTTGTTCGGGAGTGTCAAAATACAAAAAAAAAATTTACTTAAATTTGTTCAACAAAAAATTAGTTTTTTACTGTGCTCCATGGAAATGGAGGAGCAAGCTGTAGTGTTGGAGAAGGCGTCGTGGTCTATAGACATGAAACAACGATTCGACGATGAACTGTCCAAAATTCGAGTTAATGCTGCAAAAACAGTATTTTCTTAACCGAAACTACTTACCAGAAGTTAGTAAATGATGTACAAAAAGCCAAAATGACTACTAAGAAGGAACCTAGGGACTATTGGTTGCTGAATCGCTATGATGTGATGATTATAGAAAACAAAAGTAAACTCATTTATCCTGTTAAAGAAGGCATCAGTACTGTACAGTATTACGTCACGGACTCTGAGTTAATTCACGTACTTCATGAAGCTCATTTGGCTATTGGACACGAAGGACGTGATAGAATGTAGAAAGAACTTTCAACCAAATACAAAAACGTTACACGTCATGATATTGAACTGTACATCCACCTTTGTGAACCTTGCCAGAAAAAACAAAGGTATTAAAAAGGGCATTGTTATGAAACCTATGATTTTTTTTCGCATTTAATTCCAGTTGTCATGTATATCTTATTGACTTTCAGTCTCAACCAGATAGAGAATACAAATTTATTATGGTGTACCAAGATCATCTCTCAAAATTTGTGATTCTTAAGTCTAACGTCAAAAAGCTGAAGTAGCCTATAACCTAGTGGACATATTCTCATTGCTTGGAGCACCATCTATATTACAGTCTGACATAGGTAGGGAATTTGCCAATAATGTGGTGACCAGCTTGAAGAAGTTTTGACCAGCACTGAAGATTGTCCATGGGAAGCCTCGCCATTCACAGTCAGGGTAGTGTCGAAAGAGCTAATCAAGATATCGAAAATATGCTCTGTACTTGGATGCAGGACAACGAATCTGACCGCTGGAGTGAAGGACTATGTTTCGTTCAATTTATGAAAAATAGAGCTTATCATTCTGGGATCAAAAGAACACCGTACGACGCTCTTTTTGGCTGCAAATCTAAAGTAGGGCTTACATCGTATTTTCTACCAGAAGACGTTTTAAAAGACAAATACAGAGGAGCAGCTAGAAAAAGTAATAGAAAGCATCAAAACAATGGAAAAAGATGAAACTAATCAGATTATGCAAGAAAAAGAGCCTGTTTTAAAAAACATGAATGAGATTATAGTTGTTAGTGGATTAAACCAACCTGATGAAGACATGCTTACCGAAGAGATTTCCGTTTCTGCTACCTGTTGTGTGTTTAAAGGAAACGAGTGATGAACTTGCATGGAAAAAATGTCAAAAAATTCATACCTTCTGTGGCCATGCTAGTAAAGATGATGAAATGGATATTTTGTGCACCCTTTGTTTCAAAACTGAAAATGCTACTGAAGGTAAAATAAATTCTAAAATCAATCTGGAAATACAAGCCAAAAAAATGAAATTGAATTTGGAAAAAAATTTCCCACTGCTTCTTTGGGAACTACTGTGGGAGTTCCTATTCGTGACGTCGACAAGGGGCGTGGTGATTCGCGCAATGTATTGGCAGTTGTAATGAGTGTGACAGGATGGTTTCTACCGACTTGGAACTTTTGAAGGAATTTTAAAACAAGTATATGCGAGATCACAATTCACTTCATGCCCTAAGAACTTGCTTAGAATTGAAGATATTCCTGACCATGAAATTCCTCTCCGGTCAGTTGCAATTGCTCAGTCCAGTGGAAGCGGCCAAGGATTCGTCAGATATATGTGTAAAACAAAGTGCCAAAATATGAAATGTCTTTGCATGAAAAATGTAATGAAATGTAATTCAAATGTCATTCAAGTCTACCATGTAACATTGCAACAAGTAGGTTAATTTTAATTTCTTATTTTTTATATGAAAATTTTGTTTCCCTTAATAAGAAAAGCATAAATTTTGTTTTGTACAACTTTCATTTTTCTTTACGTATTTTGAATAAATTTTTTTAATGGCATTCTCATTGTTTTTTCAGAATAACATTTGTATTTTTTAGGAATGTACGTCAATTATATAATAGCCTTATCAGGACCTGTTTTCATACTTTGCCTAAATAGCATTTGTCATTCTATAGAATGCCTAGGTATTATATACAATGCCTAGGGAAAGTATGTGATAATTCTCATATTTCATACATTGCCTAAAAACGCCGGGCATTATATACAATGACTAGGTATTCTATAGAATGCCGGCTTTTCATACTTTGCCGGTAACATATATATTTTTTAAATTAAGAGGAAAACATTGGTCATATTTTTCGAGGTTGGAGTGAGGTTGCCACATCACTACAGCGCATTTGCGTGTGAACATCACGATTAAATTTTACATTTGGTTATGTCTATCGGCTTTTGGAATGGGGAGATGTGTAGACCCCTTCTTAAATGCATTGTCATTGGACAAGTATATACTCAGTTTCAGTTTTCTATCTTTATCTAGAAATGGCCGAAGTTTGAGTTGGAAGAATTGAGAACATGCATAATTTAAACGCTTTAACTTTCTTTGTATCATGTTATACAAATGTAAGTTTGCCGACAAGGGCCCTTAGTCTCGAGTTTTTCGTGTTGTACTCGAATTGACGTCATCGAACTCACTCGTGTTACTATGACTCACATAATCGGTAGTCTCGAGTTTAGACCAGTGTTCCGTTCGACGACGCCATTGCTTAAGCTTGTTTTCGTCGCGGAGCAGAGCACCAAACGGCGGGCGCGTTTTCTGATAAGTTATTTTTCTGCGAAAAATTCGTTGAACTTTGGAGACATCATTATTTAATAGAAATAATTTTTATGGCAGATGAATAAGAAATGTTTTTATCACAAGAAATGTATAAAATTACAGTACCTAATTTATATACTGTACAGACGATAGTAAACTCAACTTACCCGCCTAAACTCTCAGTAGCGTGTAAGTAGTTTGGCTGCTCGTCCACTATTGGTCCAGATTCGACCAATCCTATCGCGACATGAGTCGGCGATGACGTTTTACCGCATTTTACGAGTCTCTTTTAGTGTCTTTATACGAATACTGTCGCAATTTTTTCGCCGCTATTTACGAATCCGCATTATATGAACCCGCGTTATAGGGGGTCGACTGTATTAACTATACTATTAATAGAATTACGTTATACCACGTTATTATTATTAAACAGATATCAATTCGTGCGTTTATTAAAATTTATGAACTTTAATTCACTGTAGATTGTATAGTGTAGAAAATACACTTTTCTACTATTATTAAAATAAATAATTCCACTCATACCTTTTCAATGTGATATTTGCGCCTGCTTAGCTGCACACAGACGGTTGATCCGTGGTGGAGTCGTTGGCAATGCTAGTCTCATTTCATCATCGACGGATCTGAGTCTCTCCCTCTTTGATGTTTTAATTCCAGTCAGAATCGAGAAGCCCAGTTCACACAAATACGTAGTTGAAATGGCAATAACATATTAACTGCCATATCGGAGATAGCCGGGTATTCACTTTTTATTGCCAACCAAAATGTATCCAAAGGCAC